GAATCCCCTGGGTTTCGCTCACTCTGTATCTATATATGTATAATATATATAAATAAATAATATGTAATATGTTTTTTAATTTTCTATTATTAAAAAGACAAGAGGTGTAAAAAGACAAAAATATCCATATACTTAACCAGACTAACAAAATCCGTTAGCATGAGGGACTTGGAGCGTACGTTTTTGCATACCACAGGTAGGGGTGATAATGGGTCAGGTTGAGTTTGTTCGGGTTCAACCCATTTATTAAATAGATTGAAAATCTTAACCTAATCCAACCCATTTAATTAAATGGGTTGAGATTTTTCAACCCAATCCAACCTGTTACTTAAACGGGTTGATCTACTTACGATTTTTTTAACCCAACCTGTTAAATAAATTGAACTTGAGTTGACTCATTTAATTTTAAAATTTTAAATAAAAAAGGACTAGAATATTAATTTTTTTTTAATAAAACACAACCAAAAATACAAACAGATTGTTTAAAGTTTGAATAAAACACAACCACAATAAATATATTGCTCAAAATAAGTTGAATTGGACTTTAGAGGCGATAATGGAGTGATGGACTAAAGAGTTTTCTTAGCGTTTTTTGATGATTAAGAGTAATGAAGGCGATTGAAATTTGGAGTTTCATCTCACGACGGTAGGATTTTTAATTAAGAATAAAACAAAATTAAAAATTAGAATACTATATATAATATTAAAAATAAAATAAAATTATATAATATTTTAAATGGGTTGAAAACTAGTCGAAAAGTTCAATCCAACCCAATTATTTAAATGAGTTAGACGAGTTGACCCATTTATTTAAATGAGTTGAAAATCTCAGCTAATTTTGGGTTAAGTTATGATTAGATTAGCGAGTTGGGTCATTTTTTGCCACCCTTAATCATAGGTATCGGAATGTAATAAACACATTTTATGAACTTTAGCCAAATAATAATAATAGTGATTCTAATTTTAATAATAAAAAAAATAATATATTATTGATTGAGTTTCACATTTTATTAAAATTAAAATGATTTTCAACGCCTCTATGGTAGAGGGTGCCATCAGAATTCCTATTTTTTATTTATTTATAGATTTTAGTTTGGAAATCATAGGCAGATTTTATAGTAGCTTTTTAGTCTAAAAATCTATTAATTATTTATGAATGATTGCAGTGCATTTAAGAGATGGCAGATTTTATAAATATGATTCCAAATATTATAAATCTAATTAATTTTGGTTCATGATTTTTTTTTAAAGTTATATCCTTAAAACGATAAATAGTTATTAATTAAATATTTTTATTAAATTATACACAAAATACGATTATGATTTAAAAATTCAGTGTTTCTTTAAAATATAATTTTGAGTAATTATAAAAATTGTCCCAAAAATTTGTAGAAACTCTTGTTTCGTCTTTAACTTTTAGAAGTTACAAAAGTGTTATTGTGGTTTGTATTTCGTTAACGAAATTATCTTGACCCTAACGACTGTTATGATCATCTAAGAAGTGTCCTAACGTGGAAGTCATGTGAACAACATTTCGGTCATTTTGCATGGTTTTAATAAAAAAAAAATTGATTGTAGAAGTGTATAAAACATATGTACAGGTGTGTAAAGCATTTAGAAAATAAAAATAATATAACATCCAACCCTCCCTTTTTACACCACCATTGTCAGCCACAGTAAATGCAGATTAATCAACCACAGATTTTACTCAAATTCAAACACAAATATAAATCCAAATTCAAACGTAAATTCACCTAGATTCAAACACAAAACTAAAACCAAAACGTTAAATCAAGATATCAAGAATAATATCACATATTAGTTAAGAAGTAAAACCGAATATCATTCAATTAATGGTAGCAATAGCAACTAATGGCCTTAACGCCAAGGACAATTTCTGCAAGGAAATGCAAACCAGGATGATGGTCCTTATAGTTTCCAAAAATTCAGTAGCATTTGGTACACAAACAGTACCGAATTGGATATGACAAGATAATATTGGACATGACATGTTGTATACCTGATATTTGGTATTATTAGGATTGAACAAGACCGAGCTGACAGATTGCCTCTAAATGTTGTTTAATGGTTTATATGGTGGTTACAGATAATGGTGGACGTAGAGGCGGTGGTAGCTGATGGTTGTTGTGAAGGACGTGGAGATGATAGACGGTAGTGGTATTGGCAACCGACAGTGGTGGATATGGAGGTAGAGATGGTGGTGACCGATGTGGCAAAGGTGGTGATGGATGGTGATAGGTGGCCGTTGGTTATGGTGGTGGAGATGGTCACCTATGGCCGTGGTCGCAACGATGGCAAATGATGATAGTGACTGTGGATATGATGACAGTGATAAGAGCCCTATTTTGTCAAGTCTTATATACCAAACACAACTTTAAAGACAAAAACCGAAGTTACTACAATATAAAAAATAAAATGGACCATTTTCGTAATTTACTCTATAATTTAATAGATTTTTGAGTGCGATGAATGGTGTTTTGGAATAAATTAGAAATGGCAAGTTATGTAAATTAGGTGAAGAGGGAGGGCAAGGTTGGAAGGGAAGCCATAGCCAGCCACTTCCCTCGCTACCCCCTTTTTCTAATTTGTATATATATATGCAGCTCCAACATGTGAGCCTCTTCATCCCTCTTCAACAGATTCTCTCTGCGAAATACATACAAAAAATCAAAATCCAGATCGTTGTTCTCCGTCTGATCTGGTCATTTTTACCATCTTAATTTGATTACTCTTTGGTGATAATTTTCTTCACAAGCAAAAATGGCTCCTCAAAACGTTGGAATTCTCGCCATGGAAATCTACTTTCCTCCTACTTGTATCCAACAGGTAACTCTTCTTTGTCTTCTTGGTGATCAATGCATTAAAATGCTTGTACGGTACAACTACGAGCTTGTTTTCTTCAATCGGATTGATTTTTGATTTGCTGTGCTTATTATCATGAAATCGTTTCAGATAACTTTGTGTCACTGCTGCTATCGTACAATTAGAATTTCCTTTTCGTACCATCGATTAATGCAAAAAAAGGACATTCTTTTGTGGGCTAACAATAAATTATTGTGAAGATCGACGGTTAGTTGCACATGCAAAAGGGATCTAATAGGGATAATCTCGCAAGTCGCAAGCTTTTGGTTTTTTGTTGTTTGCTTTTAGTCAAGTTGTATCACACTACTGTTTGAGACAGTTGATGGCGTATAGGTGCTCTTAACTCTATCCAAATGTGATTTGATTATGATCAAGAGTGTTGAAGCTGCTTTATGTTTTTTTTCCATTAACCCGGATATCCAACCCGCTGTGCGAGCTGAACCCCGCTTCGCAGGTATCCCGGAGTCACCGCATTTGAACCTCCTTGGTCACATCCTTGGGTTCGAACCTGGACCTCCAGGCACTTTTGACCTTTGGAGCCCAAACTCAAACCAATCGGGCACAACTTCATGTTTTGAGAAAAGAATATAAAGCTTTCTTGTTTGCCTTGATTAGAAAAAGATTGGTTCCAGTTTTCTGGGGGTTTTACACTGTGTTTTTGCTCATGGACAGGATGTTGTTGCCATTGACTTTGCATTTAATTTAATCACTTTTTAATAACCAAAAAATAGGATGAAACTTGTGGATCAGTATCAATGTCCTCAATATTTAGTATATTTACCAATGTGTAAAAAGAGAGAAAACCTTGGTTTGAAATTCTGCTAAAAAAGCCCAAGTTGCAATTCTGGACATCCAAGGAAGAAAGTTACATTATTTCTGAGGGAGGGAATATGAAGCGATCCTGTGGATTTGGAATTTAAGATTTTCAAGTATAAACAAGGATCAATTTCTATAGGGACAATGCAGGACCAATTTAATTAATTTACACACAAGTTGATCTGTTTAAAGTTTATCTTATAAGCTAGTGTAGAGTGTAATTGATTGCTTGTTTTCTTCTCTGTGTATGTTGTGCAAGTAATGTAGAGGAGATTGTATTTGTGTGGCCTTTTCTTGAGATTACTTGTAAGCAAGGTCTTGATTTTAAATGTTGTCACATTGAGTGAAACCTTTTTTTCTTTGGTAATTTATTTTACAGGATACCCTAGAAGATTTTGATGGAGTTAGCAAAGGAAAATACACCATCGGACTTGGACAAGACTGCATGGCATTTTGTTCGGAGGTGGAAGACGTCATCTCTATGGGGTTGGTGTTTTTTATGGAAATCTTAGCTTTAACATGTTAGAAAAAGATGACGAGTCTTTGGCAGTCATTATCTCAATGATATGTGGTTTTTCTGAAATCTCATAATTCACAATTGGTTAGAGGATAGTGCTAAAAACTCACATTCTTTTGCATAATAATCATCACCAAATGCATTGAGTCAAGGATGCTTCCACTGGTGTAGTCACCAATGAATTTATCATTCCCTGGCCATCATCTTCATTCAAATTGACATATATTTAAAATTTGACCTAAATCATTGATAACTCAAAAATCCATAATTCTAGTGTTTCTAACATGCTAAAGAAGAAACTGATAATTGTCACCACAAAGATGATTGGTCGATGCTGTTCATTTAAACTCAGTTTTCTGGAATGAATCCAGCTTGTAACACCTGGGACATTTTTATATTGATCTTTACTAAGATGAAGGTTAAAAACTGTGTTTCATCCCCCATTTCATCTAGGAAAAATATTTCTTGATCTTGTCAAGGAAGGTATTATTTGGGGTTTTTCTGGTCAAGGTTGGACTGTTTCCATGGCAACATGATATCTCATCATGTTTTAGTCTCCATAGTAGTTTACACCCAGGATAACATTGTGTCTCCCAATCAAGGTTCTACAACGTGGTTTTTTAAGCATAATCCATTTGCTTTTTTTTAAGTTTGAAATCTTTTACATAGACAAAGTTCCAGTCATCTGGCATATGTTAGAATCCTTACATTAACTTCCTCTTTTTTAGATTGACAGCTGTCACTTCACTACTTGAGAAATATGAGATTGATCCAAAACAAATTGGTCGGCTGGAAGTAGGCAGTGAGACTGTTATAGACAAGAGCAAATCCATTAAGACTTTCCTTATGAAAGTTTTTGAGGTACTAATAAGTCCTTTTTTGTTACTTCTTATGTTCAGTAATTTTCTTGTTGAAACTTGATGATTAGATATTCCTGTAGCCAAGGCTCAGATACGCCAGACTCTTGGTCTCTCTCACTTGATTCCCTCATGCTATGATCCTTATATCGCCTTTTTTCAATATCCACTATTGCTTTTGAACGACCTCCATAACTAACATGCCCTGTTTCTTTCTATGTGCACATGCAGGAATGTGGAAATACCGATATTGAAGGTGTTGATTCAACAAATGCTTGCTATGGTGGAACTGCAGCATTATTCAACTGTGTGAATTGGGTGGAAAGTAAATCGTGGGATGGACGCTATGGAATGGTTGTCTGCACAGACAGTGCGGTATATCACTGCTTCCTTTGTGGTTTTTGTGCTACACTTTGAACCTTTTGCTACTAGAAGCTCAATTAAAGTTCGAGTCATATGACTCGTGCCACTGAAAAGCTAGACTCTAATTAAGACATGATATCTGGGTCATATGTTGATATAGGCAATTAGGCATTTGGCAATCTCTTTTTTGAGGACAATTGTTCCATTGCTTATTGGAAATCATTTTTACTAGGTCTATGCAGAAGGACCAGCTCGACCCACTGGAGGAGCAGCTGCCATTGCGATGCTGATAGGGCCAGATGCCCCTGTTGCATTTGAAAGCAAATTCCGTGCAAGTCATATGTCCCATGTTTACGACTTTTATAAACCTGACCTTGCAAGTGAATACCCGGTATTCCTCGATCTCTTTTGTGAAGTTTAATACTTGACATTGTTTAAACTAATATAGTCCAACTGAAACACTTGTGTGAGAAAATTTGGCAAAACTTTTGGACGTTCTTTACTCAAATTTTAATGTATAATGTTTCTGTTAGGTTGTTGATGGAAAGCTTTCCCAAACTTGTTATCTCATGGCACTTGAGTCTTGCTACAAGGGATATTGTCGAAAGTAAGTTGCTTTCTGTATATCAGCTCCAACTCCTGTCATGATGACACATTATGTTACAAGCTGTCGTTAACATAATCTTGCCCATTATAGGTACGAGAAATTGGAAGGCAAACAATTTTCAATTGCTGATGCTGACTATTTTGTATTTCATTCTCCTTATAACAAGGTAATTGATCTAAAAGAAGCATACTTGTTTTCTTGATACTCATTATAGTAGTTCAAACTTTTCTGTGGAATTGTGCAGCTTGTACAGAAGAGCTTTGCTCGATTAGTGTTCAGTGATGTCGTTAGAAACGCCAGGTGATTATTGAGTTACTAATTCATGTTACGCTTCTTAATGTCTGCTAAACTCTATTTACATACTTACCCTTCCTATTGTTCCAGCTCCGTTGATGAGTCTGCCAAAGAGAAGCTAGGGCAGTTTGCATCTTTAACTGGTGATGAGAGCTACCAAAACCGTGATCTTGAAAAGGTATCTTTATGTCTTGATATGCATTTCTTTATTCTTCGCTATTCTTGAAATTCCCAGTTTCTAAACTTCACATAGAAACCCTTTTTTTTTTAATAAATTTCATGAGCCGAGGATTGATGAGTTTGTTCCTATGCATCTGTTTACAGGCATCYCAGCAAGTGGCTAAGCCCCATTACAATAAGAAGGTTCRACCTRGAACTTTGATCAACAAGCAAGTCGGCAACATGTATACTGCTTCTATATATGCGGCCTTTGCTTCCCTCATTCATGATAAGAATAGCTCTCTGGTAAACATCTAGAATGTTCTCTTTGCCTGTTTTTTTCTGTGGTAAAAAGATGCTGTTTTAGAAATGATTTAACTTCTCAAATCAGCGTACTTGACTTCATCTGCAAGAATGAATTATTTTGAACAAAAACTGTCAAAGTACAATGATAATTTTTGCATTTATATTTCCATGGTTTATCGTTCTTACTGGTTTATCGTTCTTACAAAGTGTAGCTTTCATTTTATGTTTTTGCAAGAGCGTAGATTATCTTAGCATTTACATTCACATTTTATGATTTTAATCAAAATCACTAGTCTTCTTTTTTGTATTTTTACAAGAATGATGATTTGTTTGTATAATATATAATCAATTATTATGGTTGGAAAAAGCAAGTCTGACTCTAAATTGATTCATGTGTTGTGCTACTTTCAGGATGGCAATCGGGTCATGATGTTTTCGTATGGAAGTGGATTATCTGCCACTATGTTCTCATTGCATCTAACTGAGGGCAAAGCGCCTTTTAGTTTGTCAAACATCGCAAAGGTGATGAATGTCGATGAGAAGTTGAAGAGGAGGACTGAGGTATGCTTCTTTTATTCGAGGATTAAATTACTAGGCGAAGGACGTGTGAGAAGGGAAGTTATAAATTGATCTGGTGCATCTTGGTGCACCTTATTATTATTGACATTCAATTAGAATTGATCCAAGGTTGGAGATCTCTTCTTACGCTTCTCATTGTAACTTCCCTTCTCACCGGAACTCAACCCTAAATTAGTAAGGCTATGTTTCACAAATTAGTTGATAAACTAAGCTAGTTGTTAGCTCATAAGTTATTCACGTTTGGTTAAAACTAACCGACAAACTAGATAACAATGTAAAGTTACTTAAAAGGGATAAGGTTTTAATTTGGCAATTTATGTAAAATTTTTGAGGCATAATTAGAAAAAAGCCCATGTTATTGACATGCCTAAAGGAGTTTTTCAAAAAGCTAGTTTATAGTTTACCAAACATGGCTTTTTCAATAAGTTCAAAAAGCAAGCTAGCTTATAGTTGCCAAACATATCGACTCAAGAGTATACTAGTATCTCACATAACAAAAATTCATCTTCACCTTTCCATATTCCTGTTTTTTATCCTCCCCCCAATAAAAACTCCACTTTTGATTTTAAAATTCAAAGTTTCAAGTATAGTAGAAAAATGTTTGATTATTTGTGAAAATGCCTAAGCAAAAGAAATCTCGCGGATCCAAATTAGTACAACCAATTTGATTATAATTACAATCATCCGTAACCTTTATAGCCTCTAGAGAAATGTCCGCATACATCCCCTACTTATGCCTAGGATTTACTGGGTTTGTTTGGTTTGGTTGTACAATAGTGGTATGACTAGAAACAAGTAGTCTGATAAGTACGTGGTGTTTCTGGGTGCAGGTTGTGCCAGAAAAATTTGTGGAACTGATGCAGCTAATGGAACACAGATATGGAGGCAAGGACTTTGTGACTAGCAAAGACACCACTCTTCTAGCCCCAGGCACCTATTACCTTACCGAAGTTGACTCCAAGTACCGCAGATTCTATGCGAGAAAGACCACCAAGTTGGCTAATGGTCACTGATCAAGTTTGGGTTTGGTTTGGTTTGGTTTGGTTTAGGTGTGATGTTGTAAGAGAACATAGGAGGAGGAGGAGACCAATAATCATTTGCTTTCATTTCGAGTTTGTTACATAATAACACTCATTAAATTATCCATCTTCTTAAGAAATGTATTGAGGTTGGTCAATTTCAATCATTTTAATATAAATGGGTTAAAATTGGCAATTGCCATCTCTGTGTTTAACTCTCACCTGATGGTGAACAATAGTGAGCCATTTTTTGATGTACAAGGTCCATTCTAGACCTTTTTCATATGGCTTTTCAGGCATTTGGTTTAGCTCTGGGGCTCAAATGACCCAAATGGCCTTGGTTAGGAGCGTACACGAGTTCAAATGACCCAAATGGCCTTGGTTAGGAGCGTACACNTCAAATGACCCAAATGGCCTTGGTTAGGAGCGTACACGAGTTCAAATGACCCAAATGGCCTTGGTTAGGAGCGTACACAGAGTTGAGTTGGACGGTTTGAGTCATTTAAAAAATCCAACCCTTTGCTATCATTCTGTTTTTGATTTTTGGTGACTTAGGAAAATCGTCCATCACTCGATTTAATCCTATACATGTAACAAATATGTAATATTGAAGTATTAGTGCATCTCGGTGCACCTCATTAGAGTTGACATTCAATTAGTATTGATCCAAGGGTGAAGATCTCTTATTACGCTTCTCACCATAACTTTTCTTCTCACTGGAGCCTGACCACACACACACACACACACACACATATATATATATATATATATATATATGAAGGTTCAATAAAAAAAACCATTTTATGGAAACACGAGAACATCTTTATCACATATGATGATACATATGAGGGGACCTAGTGGAGTGCAGTCGTCTGTGTTTCTGATTTAGTATCATATGTGTACCATATGATGGATTATTGTATCAAAATTGTGAACACTCTTATAACATGTGATAATATACATGAGAGATCTTAATGGTGTGTAGGCGACTTGGCCTGCAACCTAGGTCATGCCAAGTCATCCACATCTCTGATTTATAATATCACATGTGTACCACATGTGATGAACTATAGCATCATGTGTTGATTACTATAAAAAAAGGTGTTTTGCGTTTTCGTAAAATGAAGATATTTTTATTTGAACCGTCCCTATTTATGTAGTTATATATTGCTTATTTTCACACATTTATATGCATAATTTAATCCAATTCTTTTGCTACTATTAACTTACGGCAAATAGCAACATGTAAATGGAGAACGGTAATTAGGTAAAAAAAAATAGAGAATTTGTTGCTCAAAAAATGACCTAACACGAAAATGGGGCTAAAACTAGATAAATATGAATAAAATTTTATGTTGTATATAAACATAAATACAAATTTATCAAATTATATATTAACGGCAAGTCGACGGGTTAGGTCGGATCGGGCCTGACCCAACATCAACCCTGTTAATTGATGGTTTGACTATTTAACAAATTGGACTTAATTATTGGGTGTTTGTCGATTGAGTTGGACGGATTCAGCGTGCTAGCATTTTTAGTACAACCCTAGTCCCGGTTCTAATTGGCACTAAGCTCCAAATGAGGCCCGATAAAGGCTACCTTATCACATCATTAACACTAACTTGTTTTTGAACTTATTGAAAAAACTATATTTTAGTTAATAGTAAGCAAGCTTTTTAATACGGTACTTCAAGTAGCATTCCAATGAGTTGTATAAACTTTTTGCCATTTTTTCAATTACGTCTCTTGTTATTTTCTAATTAAATTTTCAACATGTCTTTAAGTAACTTTACATTGTCGTCTAGCTTATCAGCTTGTTTTTATAAACATGACTAGTTTATCGATCTAACATCTAACTTTTCAACTAGTTTACCTAACATAGCTTAGGAATCGTTACTAAAAGCTTACTGAATCACTTACTTTACCGCATAAACATGACAAGAACCTAGAATCTTACCCTTTAAATAAGAGTGATGACTTTTACAGGTAAGCACTTACCAAGTAAATTGTTTGCATATGATATCGTTTTGATGGACTAGAATCTTACCCTGTAAAATAAGTGAGAGTGTTAGACTTTTACCAATAAACGCTTACTAAGCAAGCATTTGATTAAACGGACCCTGAGTCAACATAACACGAGGCTTATGTCTACATGTATTGCACATTACCCTTGACCAAAAACCAGCCCTTATACTTTATTCAATCAAATAAATCAAGAGAATCTATACTATTTTATTAAGCAAATTCATCAAAAGTCTTAAAATTCTAAATGATCAAGATACTTTTTTCACTTTTTCACCCCTTCCTCTCCTCACATACACTCACCCCCTCACATACCTCTCACATTCAACGGATTTTTTTTAAAATTATAATTTTAAATTTACATTTTATATCCCTATAATTAGTTAATTAATTACTTTACGTCCTTTACTTTTAAATATTTCATTTTAAACATTTATTAAATTAACATACATAATCGTATATCAAATAAAATATGTTTAAAAAATACATTTTTATTTTAACAAGTTACACTATTATAATCGTCTCGTTAATACCTTCGAAATGAGTCCAATATTGAATAGTTTTTGACTTAATTATATTATCATATATTATATATACTGTGAAAAAATATTTTTAATGTTTACGATTTATACTTTTATAGTTATTTATTTATATATATGCTATACATTTTGGAATTAGGCTGTCCAAATTACACTGTATAATATGTTCTTGGGTTTTTTTGAAATATATATATACATGTATAAATTCAATCTTAATCTGAACTTCTGGACAAGAAAGAGAGTAAGCAGTTGAAAATTCATTCTAAAACCCATTTTTTTTATCTTTTCATAGCTTCTGATCTGTCAAATTTGTAATTTTCTTTATTGGTTTTAAGTGTTTATCTTAAAACTCAACTTTTTTGGTTTTTTGCTCTTGGTGTAAATCGAACACATTTGTGGAGTCGTTTAAACATGTTGAATTTTAAATATATTAGATTTTAAACTGTCATACAATTTTTTTCATCGATAGTCTGTAATTAGAACCATAACTCTTATTTATTCAAATTGTATTAATATGTAAAGATTAAGTGTAACATATATCATCGTTAAATATTGTCTTATAAAACCAGTGAAACTTCAAAATCGTTAAAATTCATGGCTCCCGCCGCATTGTGCGGGTACACAACTAGTTCTTAATGAAATCAATCCAAATTATACAACACTAATAATACACAAAATACAACAATCTTGCATACCATATAGCAAAACAAAGAAAGTAAACTCATCATAACAACAATAATGATGAATACAACACATCAAACCTCTAAGGCTGTTCAAGCTGCCACAGGGGTCTTACGGTTTGGCTCGAACACGTACTTTATGAGCGAATCTTTAATTGACAAAAGCTCCGGGAACTCGGTCTTCAACTTTGTGGTGTCAAGCTCGTTGTTGCTTCTTGGAGCAACGATCACTTTAGCCTGCTCCTCGAGATTGAAGTTCTTCCATGTAAACTTTGGATTGATGTATTCACGATACATCTCCAAGATTTGGTTGTGGCTAATGCATCCGGGGTTCGTGAAGTTGTAGATTCCGGTGAGATTCCTTTTTGCCATTTCTATGGAGATTGGGAGGAGTTCATCAAGAACGGTCATGGAGTTTGGGATATCGACCACTTTCTCATAACGGGTGATTTTGGTTATAAAGTTTCGTGGGTTTGTTAGATCGGAAGAAATGGGCATTCTAACACGTAATGTGCATACATTTTCGTAGTTCTTGAGCAATTCTTCCACCTACACATAACCAGAAATCAAATCAGCACCTAAATCGACCACATTTGGATCCAACTAATCTGTTCTTTCTATGAATTAGATCTCAATAGAATCATATACATTTAAATCTGACAAGAATAAAAGACCTCACATTGATCATAAAACATGAAAAAGCATCATGTTTTCATTACAAATGAATATCGCAGATCCACCATGTTTTCATGAACAGATTCACACATGAATATAGCAGATCTGCCATGCTTTCATGAACAAATTCACACATGAATGCTTTAATAACACAAAATCATCACACGGGTTACTGCAGAAATCATCAGAAAAATGCAATAAAAATGAAATCTTGGAATGAAATCTGATTTTGATCGTTTACAACATTACCATAGCTTTGGTCTTGGAGTAAAACGATCCAACAAAATTCGGACTATCCTCTTCCTTAAACCCTTTACCCGACCCGAGTGGATGATTGGAATCATACTCAAATATACAACCTGTAGCATAGTTGATCAAAATCAACCCTTTTTCACGGCAGACGTCAGCAAGTGTTAGGGTTCCGACGACATTAGCACGGATAGTCTCCACCTTATGGGATTCGCACCAATCAACGTTGGGTCTTCCAGTGACACCGGCGGCGTTAAAAACATGGGTGGGATTGATAGCGTTAATGTCGGCTATAAGCGTGTCCCGTAACTCGAGACGGCCGGAGCCATATGAATACTGAATACCTTGAGATTGACAGAGCTTACCCAATAAACCTCCGATCCAACCGGTTTTGCCGTAGATCAAGAACTTGTATGGCTTGGCCGACGACCCATTGGATTGGGAACCCATGATATGATAGATTTAGGGAGAGGGGGGGATTGTGCTTTAAGATTGGAAGGGAGGATGTTTATGAAGATCGGAGAGAGGTGCGAAGTAGGTGGGAGAGATATCCGCCAGTAAAAAATATTGGAATGAAGGTTTTGGGGAATAGAGGCTGAAACGTCTAGGAGGAGGTTGACCACTCGCTTGCCTTTGTAAGTTGACTTCAGTTTTACCACCCATTTCACCTTTGTACTTTATTCGCAATTTCCCCCCTTTAGTTTGCCAGCCTTGTCAAAATCCATTTTATGTGATTCAAAACTAGGATCGAAAACCAAATCGTACGTATATAAGTTTGGTATCAGTTCGGTTTAGTGACATATGTACGCATACATATATAAAATTATATGTTAGTGTTTTGAATAATACTGTAGAATCAATTAAATTCATGTAAAGTGAAAAATTAAGTTAGAGGTCGTTTACTAAACAATTACCCGGTAAGTGATTATTGGTTAATTTTCCTTACCGGATGAACATGACAAGAGTAAAAAATCTTACCCGGTAAGAGTAATGATAAACATGAAGACTCTTACTCAGATAAATGTTTACCGGTTAAATTATTGAATACGATATCATTTTGATGTATTACAATCTTACCATTTAGTATCGTATTTATTCTGGTTAGTATCCATATTTTTCATAGCCTCATCAGTAGACCAATCACAATAATATTAGCAATGCAAAAAGTAGATTATAAAATCATCTCGAACAACTTATCTATGAGAAAATAGAGGTTTTTCATATAAAATTTGCTCCAATAGAGAAAGTGAAGATAAAATAATGTGTCATTTTTCAAATTTTAAACAATAAATTTGCAATAATTTTTTTGAGAAGAACTAATTTTCTTTATTTGTTTAGAAGTTGGATAAAATATTAAATATTTTAATAGTGTAATTAATAACGGAATATCTAAAAATAAAGAATTGATTGAATTTAATATAACTTTTTTTTGGAAAATTTGACTTTTTTGTTTTCTATTTTGAAGAAAGTATAAAGAATCCACAAAGAAGATTTTTTTTCCAATTTATTGAATTTTTTTTGGATACTTCATCTGTTTGAAAAAACTCTGGTAACAAAAAAAAGTTTTTTTTTAATTTATAACTGCACAAGCTTTGAATAAACAATGTACATGACTAGACATGGCAATGGGGCGGGTTTTATAATCCCTAGCTCCAACCTCGGTTTTTAGTAACTCCTCTTGATCCCGGTGGGTATGGTGATTAACATCTTGTTCCCGGTCAAACCCTATGAAAAATATCCGTTAGTTTGAGTATACTGGGGATCCCTAGCCCCGGCCCCAAAAAAGAAATTATGTCTTACTATAACCATTTTTCTATGTTTTAAGATTTTAATATTAATTATATTATTAAAATATTTAATGTATTTATTACACAAAATGTTTCACCATTTTTTTTAATATAAAATGATTCAAAACAATTATTGCACATAAATGCAAAATTTGACTCATCTGTCAAGAAAACAATTAATGTACATGTTCTTAAAGGATTTGTCGAAAACAACTTTTATAATATTATAAAATATTTGTTAAATAGTTCTTAAATATTATCTTTTATGTATGAAATACTATTTATTGATGTATGTTACTTAAAATTCAAGATTACAAGTAAATTATGCGTAGTTATAATTTATTAAAGTTTCATGCTTGAATTCGTATAATTAATTATAGATAAATATAATTAAATAGAGAATAAATATCTCATTTTAAATATCTAAAATATAACTAAGATATTATTAAGTTCTAACAAAATAATTACTTTTGGGTCACATCACACGTTGGATCTGGGTCCATCTAGTTTTGGATATGGGCTTCTCGTGTTAAATACTTGTGATTTTTTTGGTTAAATAATTAGTTGTGATTTTAGTACCTTAAATTAGGGTCATATGTTAGTTTTTGTAAGAAATTTTGAAAAGAGTTTTCATGCTTTGTTTTATTCTCTCTCTTAATTTCATTTTATAGTTTTGTACGGTAATGTGTAACACCTCCGAATTCACACCAAAGATATTGCAACTTTTTCAAACAATGTGGTTTTTAAAACGGGAGCGGTATTTTCTTAGATCATATATACATTTAAAATACAACGTGTTTGAAGACTACATGTGTTGCCTTACCGGTTTAAAAACAACACTTTACATTATAACCATACCATAACATTACTATCTTAACCATTCAAATGCTACTAATCGTATGCTTTTAAGTTTGTTACTTTCCATCACTTGAACTTCGAAATTAACCATTCAAACACCGTTGAAACAAGTAAATATTACTAACTTAAAATGGAATAAATCCATGTAAAGCATTCAAAGAGAAGTTGAAAATTCATTCCCAAATCATGGCTTTAAACTTGTTTGTCAATAATTGCCTTCAACCATCTTTATCTGCTTAAACTCGTCTTCATTTGCCAAAATGTTGAGGGGTATTTGCTCGGATTATTAATTAGTGTATCATCATCCTTGGCTTAATTAAGTTTCTAAAATTTACACATAACTCCCTTCGCTTTATATTTTATTTTTAGTGTCATATATGTATCTTGTATTTAAACATGTTTATCAATTAGTTATTAGTTGATTTATAGATTGCATATGTGGAGCTTTAAACATATGTATCTTGTATTTAAACATGTTTATCACCACATTCCGGTCATCTTCTCCGGTAACAAAGAACACCTCTATATCTCTCTCACAACATAATCAATACAAGAAAATTGAAATCCAGATCGGTTTACACAACAAAACTGATACCCAAAAGGGGGAAGGGCTTCATCGTCATATAGAGTTAAGGTTAATAACATTGGGTTAAGGGATCCTATCCATAATAAAAATAAAACCATAATTATCATACATGAAATTATTATTTTTTTAAAAACCCAACTCAAAATTTTCAATGACCAGGGATGAAATTTGTAATTTACTTAAACTATTATGCAAATTAAAAGTTTTTGTAATGTTTTAAAAGTTTATATTAAAAAAATTAAAAGGCATTCAATAACAAAAACTTAATTGCTTATCAAATGTTTTCGTAGATTGTGTCATCACCTATTTTTTCAACATTCTCAAAACTTTTTTTATAATCTTTTATGCTAGAAAATATATTATTACACTTTTAATTTAACGTCTATCGATTTTCCGACTTCCTTACAATAGTTTATTACAGTATTATCTTTTAAAGAGAAAATCTATTAAATAAATTTTATTTTATTTCTTTAGTTGAGGGTTTATTGTAATATTAAATAAATTAATATTTTAATAATCAATATTATAATCTCTAAAACCAAAAAATATATATTGAGATTGAATTTTCAAAAATGAAATAAGTTTTATTTCTTTATTTAAAAAAAAATTATAAAGAAGTTCTTCCAAAAATGATATGACAATGCAATAAATGCCAAATTCTGATTTTCCATCAATGTTATTTGACTTTTCATAAATTTTATCAAAAAATTTAAAAAGATACCAAAAGAGTTAAAAACCTTCTAAATTAAATTTGAAAATGAAATTTGTAATTTAATGGCACCAACAATACATTTTCTATAAATCGAGAGCACAAGTTTTTAATTTTCTAAAATATTATCATAAGAATCGATAGTATTACAATGCTTAGCTTCTTTATCATCATTGCTTTCTTTTTCGTTTCCATATTTTCATCGGCTGATCAATCTTTAAATTGTAGTACAAGTCCCGAATGGCATATGTCTGTTACCAATGGTCTCCATGACGATATTGAACTTCATGTTCGTGAAGTAGATTTTGACAAACGACAGAGACTTCATTTTAGAGAAACTTTTGATTAGTACTTTTGTCAACACGGTCAAGTGTACGTGGGTGACATCACTTGGGGTTCAATGAAACAAACTGTGATATTGTATGATAAGCACGTCAAGAAGTTTTGCTCTCGTTTCGAATATGGTTATCAACAGTGTTATTGGTTGGTAAGGCAGACTCGATTTTATGTATCTAGACATGGCTCACCATATCCAAATTCAGATTGGCATCTTGTTAAATCGTGGAATTGAATATTTTGTAGCATATTTGAATTTATCATAAAACATGATATGAAATCATTAATTTATGAGTAAAATTTGTTGTTGATCTTAGTTTCATGTATTTAATTCGATTTTAACATATTTAATAATTTTCCGCTGTGACATTATTTTCAATTAATTAAATTAAAGACATGTTTTCTATTTTATAACTATAATATGTAATACCCAAAAAATGGTTTTAATTTAGTTCTGCCAAAGAAAAAAAAGAATCTGAAAAGACATGTTCTGTCATTTCCTGAAACATTTGAAATTTGAAGGTGGAGGCGGTTTTTCACGTTTTGGGTGACGATTATATTTTGGAACTTAAAAGGGGATTACATTGTTACATAAATCGACATTTATATATATATATATATATATATATATATATATATAGGTGAAGGATTGTGTGAGAAACGTAATAAGTGATCTGGACCTTTGATCCATTTTAAAATTATTAATTAATTAAGATATTTAATATTACCAAATTTAATATTTATTTATTTAAAAAAAATCGTATATAAACCAAAATTTACTATACTATAAATAATAATTAAATTGAAATTATTTTAATTAATATATTATATTNAAACTGTTTCATGTATTTCTCTAAAATTAAAATTATGAAGATGATAATATCTATGATTAACACCCTCCACAATAAAAATGATTAATCAACCTCTCATAATTACAACAAAATGAAAAATTATGATTGGTTGAATGCGGTTTGCACGGTTTGTACAAATTGAGTGGTTTGCATTTGATCACTCCCCTATATATAGGAGCGATCAAATGAAAACCGCCCCCATTTGTATAAACCATGTAAACCAATCTCATCCATCCATTTTCTTGATCAATGGTCAAGATTAGTTTACTTTATTTTAGGAAATAAAAAAATATAGATATTAAAATTTTTATTTTATAATAGCAAGAAGGGCAAAATGGTAAACCCAACCACATCTTAAACCTCATGAACCTGTTTCATGACACATTTTCATTATTAATCATGCACCCATTTCATGCATCTTAAACCTCATCACGCAC